ATTGTCACTACAAGAGGATAAAGGAGAAGTAAAGCTATCTTTGGGATTTGATAGAGAAGGTGAGGGAAAAGGAAAACTGGACTCATCAAATTTAACACTTTGATATATGTAGATCCTGCTATTATAGTCTAACCATTTGTATCCCTTGTGATTCAGGCTGTATCCAACAAAAGTGCACTTGGTGGTATGGAAATTAAATTTATGAGAATTGTATGGCCTAGTAAAAGGATAAATTGCACAACCAAAGACTCTAATAACAACATAATTTGGAACTTGTTTGAATAAAACTTGAAATGGAGAGGAATTGGATAGAATAGGCATGGGCAGTATATTGGTAAGGTATGTTGCAGTTTGGAAAGCGAACCACTAATATTTCAAAGGTATAGTAGCTTGAGCAAGTAGTGTTAAGCCTTGTTGTACTATTTGTCTGTGTTTCCTTTCTACTCTTCCATTTTTTTGTTGAGTATAGGGACATGGATGCCTACAGATAATGCCATGATCAAGAAAGTAAGAAACTAGACTTCTATATTCACCTCCCTAATCAGTTTAAACACACTTCAGAGTTGTGTTGAATTGTCTCTCAACTAGTTTGTGAAATTGATCGAAAATGTTTTGAGTTTCAAACTTTGCTTTCAAAGGGAAAATCCAAGTAAACCTATTGTAATCATCTAAGAATTGAATGTAATACTTAAACTCTTCAGGAGATGGGATAGGTGATGGTCCATAAAGATCTGAAAGGACCAATTCTAAGGGTTTAGAGGCTCTAGAGTTGGACCTAGGGAAAACAGATTGGTGAAGCTTACCAAATTAACATGCTATGCAAAAAATCAAAAGTACTCTTAACAGTATAATTTACTTTGAAAGAATGCAAATTTATTGCAAGAACAGTTGCATTAGGGTGACCTAATCGTGTATGCCACAGCATTCCACTGGTATTTTCAACTGGAAATTAAGATTGAAACATGCTTCTTCTATTATCAACAACATCATTAGTACAAAGGGATACAAATGCAGGAGAATTAGGAGTAACTTGAGTAACACTAGTGTCATTTAAACTCTTGAGGCCCCAACCTTTATCAACATCATTATTTTCACAAAGAGTAGAAAATTGAGAAGACAAAAATTGTTTGGATTGTGACTCATTAAAAGCTCTGGCTGAGGAGTTGAAAGCTGAGACTGTGGAGGTTGAATGATCAATGGGCAAGTTTGAGTTTGAGGTTGAAGGAGTGACTGAAATTTGAAATTGATAAAGACCAGCCTTATGCCTTCCTTGAAAAACAACAACTTTGGATTGCTTGTCTTTAACCACATAATGGTCGGCAAAGAACTCAACAATTACACTACTGTCTCCAGTAAACTTAGAGATACTTAACATATTTTTAGTAATGTGAGGCACACATAAAACATGCTTAAGATAAAGTGATCTAGAATGACAAGGTAATGAAGTGAAGCCAGTATGGGATATAGGAAGTAACTCAACATTTGTAACCTGAAGCTGCTCATTGCCACAGTAGTTGGAATTCACTGCAAGCTAAGACAGGTCTAAAGTCACATGGTCAGTAGCTCCAGAGTCCATGTACCAAGATACATCATGAACTATGGATGGTGCAACAATGTAGTTAGAAATAGGATTGGAATAATGTTCTGGCTGAGTCTGGGACTGGAACACTTGACTGTGACCACTAGTTATAGATGAGTAAGATCCAATGTTTATTTGAGACTGCCTTGAGACTGGATTAGGTTCTATTGAAAAACCAGCTGGAGTGGGATTTTGTACTCTTGAGTTGGAGTAGAGTGGTGATGAAAAACCAACTTGTGTAGGCATCTGAGTGCTTAAATTGGGATTGTAAGGAAGCTGTGAATAAGTTTGACAAGGGAACTGTGATCCTTGAAAGGCTTCTAGTGTTATGGAATAATTTGGAACAAAGTTGTTCCTGACTAATGAATTGTTTCCTCCTATAAAGCTTGTATCAAACCTATGATAAAAAATTAAGGCAAGGTGTCTAGTTTTTTAGAAAACTTGATATATGAATCTACCTCTTCCAGCTCCTCTACCTTTTCCTTTGCCACCAATGAATTTGTGGAGGGTAAAAATTGATATGTGATGTTGAATTCATAAATTGATTAGGGCCAATGACAGATTGGTGAGGAGTGAAGTTATGAGATGTAAAATCAGGAGTCTGTAGCGATTGAAATTGAGACTGTCCAGTGTTGAATGGAGATTGTTCACTTTGGTATTTCTTATTGATCCCATTGGTTGATAGATTAGCAAGATGAACCGAGCCTCTATGAAACTCAGTATTGACAACTGAATTCAATGCTAAATTGGCCTTCTTTAACCCGAGCTCATATTTTTGTAGAATAATCTGAGCTTCTTGAACAGAAAGTGGATCTAACCTAGACTCCAATCTTGTAGTAATATTTACTACAACAACATCATATTCAGAGTTAAGACCATTAAGAATGTAATTCATCAGCTCTTCATCAGTAACCACTATTCCACTAGCTAACAAACTTTCGACAAATCCCTTCATTTTAACGAAATAATCATGAATTCTAAGATTGTCCTTCTTAGTATTTTGTAAAAAATTCTTAACATGCAGAGCTTTGGTTCTTGACTCAGTGAGAAATTCCTTTTCCAGAGTAATCCACATATCAGCAGAGAACTAACATTTCAAAATTACTGTGAACATCGATTCAGATATGGATCCAAGAAGCCAGCTTACTAATAACTTGTCAATCTTCTTCCACTGATTGTATTTTGGATTCGGTTTCTTTTCAGTTGTTCCACCAGAACCTTCAACTTGAACTTTGACAAATGGAGCCGGACATGAAATCAATCAAGTGAGATGCTCCCCTAAATAGTGAGATCCAAACGCAAATAGAACTTGCGATTTTCAGAATTTGTAGTTATCCCTAATTAATTTGGGGGAAATGATAGGAAGAGTTGAAGAAGACATTGAGGTAGAGCTTGCACAATTGACAGACTCATCAGTTAATTTGTGACCTGAATTGCTTGGATTAGAAGAGAATTGAGACAGATTGACCATCTTTGATGTTTGTCGATGGCTCTGATACCATGTGATGTTTCAAGAATAAGCTGAGAAAACTAAAGAAGAAGAAGTCTGAAAAATTCGAGTATATTGAGCTTAAATTGTTCAAATACAGTGACAAACACTTTTATAGTGTGAATAGCAACAACTGTTAGGTTTAACAGAATCTAACAGCAGCGAACCAGAATAATAGCTAAAATCTAACAGCAGTTAACTTTTACCTGCTAACATTGACTCTTGCCCAGCTAACTTTGACTCTTTACTAACAATGAGAAGAAGGGTGGGTGCTCATTGAATCAATTAGCTTACTGGGAATTCAAGCAAATGTTTGATTAATGCAAACTAATTCACCTTAACACTACCGGAGCTCCTTACACTTGGTCCAATGGATAGAGAACTCAAGGCCTTATTGAGTTTTGACCTGATAAATCTTTATGTAATTCAACATGGCTAAACAACTAGAGTTGCAACTCTTGCTTCACCTTACCAAGATTGGTTTCTAATCATAATCCTTTTATTTTCATCACTAATAAAGAGGCAGCACTAAAGCCAAAACCTTTTAGATTTCATACTATGTGATGGAAACACATCTTCTTTCAAGAGGTGGTCTCTTCTTGTTGTAATAACACGCTAGTTCCAAGATGCCCAGTGTATGTGGTTATTGCCAAGCTGCGCAATCTTAAGGAACAACTATAGCTTCGGAACAAATTAGTTTTTGGTGATGTTCATGAAAAAGTGGAGAAGGCTAGAATAGCTCTTAAACACATGTGGCTCTCGATTTCATAAATAGGTATTTTCGTTGAAGCTTATGAGGAAGAAATTAAGGCTAATCAGATTCTCATGGAAGCCTAGTTTCCAACATTTATTTTGGAAAGAGAAATCTCGAATCTCTTGGTTAAATCAGGGCAATAGATGCTCAAAATTCTCCCACACTTACATTAAGATTAAGAGGTCCAGATCTTTTATCGATGCTCTTTCTACTGAGGAAACCTTGTGGAGGATAAGAAAATCACGTGGTCAATTACTATGAAATTCCAAGTTCTTGGTAATTGGCAAGCTAACTATTAATTATCTTTTGCTATGAGTACTATCGATGTTCATTGAACAAATCATTGATTCAGAGTTTCAGACAGTGGAAAAAAGACAATTAATCATCTAGATTCATAAAATATTAAATTAATCATTTTTTTTAGCAACTAGTCAACTACCATGCACTATCCCGCAACTGTCACCTTTCGGTTTTTATTAAAATCCCATCGCTAGGGATATTATGACCTCATTAATTAATTAAAAAAATCCAACGTGATAAACCCATCGAGTTGTCATCTCCTTAATGTAACCTGCCATGTAATAACATTTATTATTTAAACGAGCTCGTCCCAAGAATTCAATGCTATTATTAATTGAATTTGAATGCTCATTGTGAAGAAAGAAGATAAGGTGGCCTAAACAGAGAGACTTAAATGCTAGAATTAAGAGCCACCAATCTTGATTCGCTATATCCTGCACCAATTCCAAAATTAAGGACAACACATATACATTGATACGGCCAGTTTTTAATAACTGATATATTGTTTTCATAAACGGTTCATTTCATTTTTCTTTTTTTCTTTACATGATTATTTAAAATTGAACTCATTTATTATGTTTAGAAACTATTAAAGTTTGTTTAAAAGATATCAAAATTCCTTTTAAAAATATCAAACACCCGTATATAAAATTTATCCAAACCACTAAACATATGAGTTTAATTATGAATTTATGAACAATTTTCACATAAGGTGATAAAATAAACCCTAACTTAGCCCACTTTCATCTGTATGCAGGACTTTATAACAGCTTGAGCATATTGCTAATGTCTTAATTAATCAGAAAGATCTCAATATTTATTATTAAGCCAAATGAGGAAAGTTACACCAAATACTTAAATGATAGATTTTCATCATTCAAATACACAGAACAAGTATTAAATTTACATGACATGATCCCGAGAAGAAATGTTTAATTCCAAGGAACCGAGACAATGATATTGGGTCCAGAATTAGCCTCTTCCCCTTCGGTAGATGTGAGTGCCATGACAATTCCATCCATTACTGATCCCATCCAATATGAAACACGAGTAGGTTTGTTACCTTTGTGAATTACAATCTCATTGGCCCCTAAATCATCCCAACTTTCGCCTCTGACTTGATTCCTAACATCCAACTCCCACGGAACCATCTCATTTTCAAGTCTCGAACAAGTTTCAATCTTGATTGTATTGAAGGGTTCTTTCAGAAAGACTGGGTACTTTGATGCCAATTTGCTACCCACCTCATTCTCAGTCTCCTTAACACAAACTAACATGAGTGTCTTGCCCGATTCATTTTCCAAGTTAATATTTTCGTCAGTAATCTTGAAGATCATTGTTTTGCCGCAATTTTTGGTTTGGTCGGACCTGATGATGGGAATGCTTGGAGAGCCACTAGTCTTTTTGAGAGTAGGGAGGTAGAATATGGGAGTTTCGATTGCATCAACTTTGGAAAGCATTTCATTGTGAATATTAACCCATTTCTTGAGGAAATTATCCGTGATTAAGAGGTCTGCAAGAAGGATGTTGCAGCTCATCCCGACTGAATATCCGCCGCATTCAAAATTGGTCACCTGAAATTAACCAAAAAAGAAAAAGAAAAAAAAAAAAAAAAAGACCCATTGAAATTAAATACATATAAAATAAGAAAAGCGTATGAAGTAACCAAATTCAGAGAATGCATGTACCTGAACATAAAATAGTGGAGAGAACTGAGGATTTTGTTCATCAATGTCCTTCCAGAAGACAAGCTCAGCTTCATCGTCTCTACTCTTCTTATCGAGAAACTCCGACAAAGTCATAGGGATCCCAGCTTCAATGAGCCTAAGGCCACTATCATTGGACACGAGTTCTAATCCAGCATGGCCATCTTCACCTCTTCGTAGTCTTCCACTCAGCAATGGTTGATGAACCAAAGCTCGAGCTATCGATTCCTTCATCCAGCCGGCGACTATCCAACCAGATTCATCCTCCACCACCTTCTTGTAGTAAAGAAGTATGTTAAAGCACCTCCGGAAGATCCCTGAACCAACTGGATCCGTCACCAACACTTGGCGTCTCTGCCGTGGATCAGTTTCCTTAAATGGAGTAACGGTTTGCACAGATTCAATCTGTAAATTGGAGACTGGAGTTCCCTCACCATGTTGCCCTGCCATACTTAACAACTTGTGAAAGAATTGATCATTTTGTGGTTATTTATAGGAGTTATAAGTAACGTTAGTCGACCCCTGACATTTTAAATAAATAATGAAATTTCTTATTAATTATACTCTTATCATTTATTAGGAATTGCGATTATTAATTATAAATGTTGAATTAATTTTGATTGGTTAAATTAAAAATAATATTGATAAGAAATGAAATTTATATCTTGTGAACTACTAAAGATAAGAGACATTCTTACATCTTACTAAAATCAATGTATATATATATACACTGCAGAAAGAAAATAATATTTAATGCTTTTAGATTATAAGAATAAGAGGAAACTTTGGTATTACCTAAAGGGAAGTTAAGTAAAATAATGGCCTTACTTTTTTAAGGTCTAATGCCTCTACTCAATTGTGGCGTAGACATTTCTATTGACAAAAGGTTTTGTGAGATAGTGTTTGTATTTTGTAAATAATTTGGTAAGCTTTGGTATACCTAATGTCCTTGGAGGAGTTGTAATAAGGAAAGGGTTGGGTGTTGAGCTTAATTTGCATAAAATTTTGGTAATCAGACGAGATCTAATCTATCTATTTCTTAATTTACTTTAATTTTCTTTCCTTTTAAAGAAGAAAGCCGGAAAGCAATCTGGTGTTCTGGTGGTAGTTGCCTGATGAAGCACCCAAAAGCCTACGTTTCCCAGATTAAACTTTCATTATTGATCGACGAAACACTTATTTTAGCATGTGTCGGCAATATCTACCGACCTTGCCTTTCCAACTTTTTGTAATCTAACTAAAAAGATCGATGAAAAAATATGGTGGTGTAATATAGGGTTTAATTTTAAGTATCGTGTGAGTCACATTTCTATTATTGAGTTGTTAAACAAATATAATTCAAGGGTATTAATTAATTTGCTGATTTTATACTCAGATGAATAATTGTTAGGGCCAAATATTGTCCTCGGCCCAAATAGGGAAACACCTCTAACAAATATGAAAGCCTAGGCCCAATCTCGATGGGGCCCAAGTCAGAATTCCGCAGATGAGGCCCATCCGGTATGAAGTGCAGTCGGATTTTACCATCTGGGCCCAGACCTCCTGATCCTAGAACACTTTCTGGGCTCACGGTCAATTCGGGACCCACGGTTGCTTACGGATTACACTTCTACTTGAACTCTGATAAGGAAGTCAATTACTATCCCAATTCCTCCAAGGTCCATATCCAAGTCACGCTCGAACTCCATTTCCTGCCGAGATAAGGGAGCCAAAGGTTACACCCTTTGGGAAAACTACCACTACAAGGACTCCCAGTCCCACCAAGATTGGAAGACCATACAGTCACTATTTAAACAGAGGTTAGCCCTATCACAAGGGACGAAAAACATTTCACCTTCAGACCCCAGAGTTCCTACCTGAGAACTTCGCATTACAGCCATAGTCACAGTCCGCGACTAGACTTCCGGTAATATTTTCTCTCCCTAACCCTCACTAAACTAGCCTTACTCAGCCTTGTTGACTTGAGCATCGGAGTACCTACAAACACCACCCCGGTGTTTTTCGTCTGCTTTACTCTTGCTTTCTCATGTGTGTAGGTGTAGCAGATCACTAGTAGCCTCAACCTCACGGGATCAGTCCCTCTTTCCGTAACGGTAGATTTTTGCATCTACAGTTTGACGCCCACCATGGAGCCTCTGGCAATCATTCGTCTCAACAAACCCTGCTACGTGAAGAAACTCTCCATGGTTGACAATTCTGATAACACTAATCCTGACCTCGAGGCCAAACTGGAGGCTCTGACCGCCCTCATGCAAAGCACTCAGACAAGGCGGCAGCATTGGAAGCTGAGAACATTGCCATCTGAACCAAAAACGCCTCCATCAGGGCCGAGAACCAATCTCTAAAAAAGAAGGTAAGTCAGTTTTATGATCTTGAGCTTCTGCCTTATCAAGTACCACCTAATCAGTTTCGCGCCTCGGTTCCGTCTATGCAACCTCTCCAGACTCTAGAGCACGAACCTGCAATATCGGATACGAAGTCGTGCCAACTATGTCCGTCATTAGTTGATGATTCAGCTTTGACTGATAGGGAACGGGGGCCACTGATAGAGCCACTCTCGGTCGATCCGCTTCAGGCACGAGATCAAGGAGTCCAAGCGATAGAGAGCCCACCACAACAAGAACCACCCATCCTCGCCATCCTATCCCACCTTCAGTTAGTCATCCCTACCCAAACACCACTTGGCTCGGCTCATCCTCGCAGGTCAAGCGGTCCACCACTCCTTCAAGCTACCCTGCTCGAGTCCATTCATCCCAATGGGCCAATCGAATCCCAAATAACACCCCTTACAATCTATGTAGGGCGAAACACCTGATTGGTCACGAGGGGAGTCATCCAATCGGACGAAATGAATGGGGATCAAAGCTACCAAGCAGCGAATAACGAAGTGAACCATCAGACTACACCATGCAGATTACCCACCAAAACACATCAGGCACGAATTGCGTGGCCAACCAAGTTAACCAGGACGACCCAGTGGTATCTGTATCTCCTATGGAATAGATATTGGCTAAGAGACTGGCCAACATAGAGGCAGTGATGAGGCGTATACCCAGAATGCCAATCCCAACAAAAAAGAGCCAGCCTCATTGCTATGCTGATTCACCCTTCGTAGATGCAATCACGCTAACCGAGATACCACACAAGTTCACCATCCCTAGCATGAAGAGTTATGATGGAATAATTGACCTAGACGACTACATAGCCTCTCACAAGCAACAGATGTTCGCCATATTGATACCTTAAGCACTGAGGGAAGCCTGCATGTGTAAAAGTTTCTGTTCAAGCCTTTCTGGCCCAACTCTTCAGTGGTACACCAACCTCCCAAACTGTTCAATCAACTCATTTGCCTAGCTCACCGACACCTTTGTTGAACAATTTGCTAGCAGCAAGAAGCTCGAGAAACTATTAGCAGATCTGTACAGAGTCTATCAGAAGAGTGAGGAATCGCTGAGAGAATACGTCAGCAGGTTCAACAAAGAAAAAATCTTCATCCCCTTCTATAACCCAGAGACAACAGTAGACGCCTTCAGAAAGGGGCTCTTTCCAGACGGAGAACTATACAAAGACCTGACCAAGCTCGGTTGCACCACGATAGAAGACGCCTTAGCCAAAGCTATAATTCAAATAAGGTGGGAAGAAGATGAAATGAACCGGATGAGGCATGCCAGGTACGACGACTGTCCCCAAAGGCAGAACGATAGAAGGTCAAAGTCCAGATCGTTTGAGCCCCGTTACTAACCCCCTCCACGCAACCTGAACAAGGTAAAGAGACCATATGACTGCCCACCAATTAGAACTGACAACAGACCATTCGGGTCGAGCCAATACAAAATTCCAGAGTACAACCTCAACGTCAAATCAACCCAAGTTGTGACAATCATGAAAGGAATGGGACCTACTGTTAAGTGGCCGAACAAGCTTAATCCCGAAGCAAGGAGGGACACGACCAAGTGGTATGAATTCCATGGCGACCATGGTCATAACACCGTGGACTACATTGCCCTGTGGTTGGAAGTCGCCGCGCTACTAAAGAGGGGACATCTTTGAGATCTATTGACGGATAAAGGGCAGACTACAATCAACCAAAAAAACTCGAAGGAAGCATCTCTCTCTCTTCCTGCCCCCCCCGCCCAAACGAGAACCTACACCAAAAGGTTTCTGCTCCATTATCTCTGATGGGTTAGAGATTAGTGGGGTAAGCTACTCTTCAGCTAGGTGCTATGCCCGAGCCAACCATCACCTAGAATTCCAATCCATCCACCTGCCCTTCTAGCTGCACACCAACCAGGTAATCTAGTTCGAAGATGATGAGCCAATCACCTTAGCCGCCCTTCATCACGATGCTTTAGTCATCTCCCTCAAGATCGCAAACATCCTGGTCAAGAGAGTATTCATAGATGATGCGTTGAAACTACAACATGCATAAACAGCAAGTGCACTAGTCGCACAAAGTAATAAAGTGATGAGTGAGTACCGTTCCCACGAGGATTGGTTGCTAAGCACTAATTTTCCTAAGTGTTTTTCAAGTTGGAGCAATCGAAATTGTTTGGATTAACGGGAGAGAATTAAACTAAACTAAAACAAAATATGCTCAGTATTAAAAACTAAATTATGAAAGCAAGAATTTAAACGCAAGAATAATATCAATTTAACAAACGATTAGGGTTTTGACTTTATTTGGACTCTATGGATGAATTCTACGGATTATGTTAATTCCACACTCACATGCACAGATTGTAAATCGGATTCTCTAATTTGTTAAACATACCTTCTCAGGCTATGAATTCCTACTTTTCCTTATTAACTTTCTCACCCAACAAGTCGAAGAGTAATAGATCTAAGTTCATTAAGCTAAGGGAATCCTAGATTGATTTCATTGATTCTCACATCTATCTTTAGTATTTAATACTACAATGGTGATTACCCAAGAAGCTCAATATGATTCATTTCTCAATCTCATCATATTCATCAAATAAATTCCATTAAAAACATAATAACCACACAATCTATGCAATAGAATATGAAAATAGCAATAATCAATTTATTAACCCATAGAAATCCGAACTTAATCAAAACCCTAACCCAAATGGGTCAGTTAATCAAAACCCTAACCCAAATGGGTCAGTTCATAACTAAATCAAAATACACAGCAAGAAAAAAAATAAACACAAGGTTCAACACATTGAAATGCAGAGAAAAGAGTAGAGATCTCCCCTAGTTGAAGAATCCACAAGATTCAAGCTCAAATCTTCTCTCTCAATCTCAAATCTATTCTAAACTCAATGAGAACAGACGAAAACTAGACCACCTCTATGAAAATGGTAAAGTTTTTCTTTTATACCTCGCCCAAAGACTTAAAACTTTCCTAAAATAAAACTGTGCGTTTTGGAAAAACAAAAATTCAAAGACTTTGCCGCGGCGAAGAAAGAGTTTCGCCACGACGACAA